AAGCCAGTTTACAAAAGAGGAAACAAAAATGAAGCGAGTAACTATAGACCTATATCAGTGCTCTCAGTATTCTCAAAGATCTTGGAAAAAACAGTATACAATAGACTGGTGTCCTTTACAGCTAAATTTAAAATATTAACTGAAAAAAGAATATGGATTTCAAAAAGATAAATCAACAATATCAGCATGTCAGTCATTTATCGGGAAGATACAAGAAGCTTTGGATAAGAAATTACTACCAGTGCGTATTTTCTTTGATTTAACAAAGGCTTATGATGTTATTAACCATGATATTTTGCTAGAAAAATTAGAGCATTATGGGATAAGAGGGCAAATTAATGCCTGGCTAAAATCATACGTAACACTGAGGGCACAATATGTGGAATTAATTTCTAAGGGCAACAGTGACTGTATGACTCATTTTAATTCAAAAATAAGGAATGTAAAGGTAGATTCCACAAGGGTCAACTTTGGGCCTGTTTTTGTTTTTCATTTACATAAATGACCTACCCCTCCATATAACTAACGGGGAAGTGGTGCTGTTTGCAGATGATACCAGTATACTGGTAATAGAAAAGAACAAAAATATTCTTCCAAGACAAAATAGATAAGGTAATGAAGCAACTCGAATCTTGGTTTTCAGTGAATTATGTGGTAATAACTAATGAGAAGACTACAGCAATGTATTTCCATATGAATAAACTACAAGATAGCATTGAGCCAGTAATTATGTTTAAAAATATAATAATTAATTATACAGCACAGTTTAGGTTTCTTGGTATTAATTTAACCCACAAATTAAAATGGAACATTCATATTCAGTCGGTCTGTACAAAGCTCAGTAAGGTGTGTTACATTATTAAAGCTTTGAAAGGCGAAGTAAGCCCATATGTCCTTAGGAATGTGTACTTTGCTAAATTCCAATCTCAAATAAGTTATGGTTTAATATTTTGGGGGACAGAAAGTGAAAGTGAAAGAATTATGATTTTGCAAAAAAGGTTTCTTCAAGTAATGAAAGTTGTAAAGAAAAGAAAATCATGTAGACCTATATTTAGAGAATTAAAAATTTTAACCATAAAATCTTTGTATATTTTAGAGGTGTTCGGTTATTTCAAGAAATATAACATTCACACCACAAAAAACTCTGACCTACATAAGTATGACACGGGAAAGAAAGACGACCTTCACGTGCAGAGTTATAATACCTTAACATATGAGAAGGGTGTTACAAATATGGCTATTAAGCTCTATAATAGACTGCCTTTGGAACTAAGAATGGTAAAAGCAGATAGAGAATTCCTACATAGACTCAAAAGATATTTACTGGAACACCCATTGTATAATTTGGATGAGATCCTCTCAGAAGGACAGTTAAACGAATAAGATTCTCCTTGATAAATAGATTTTGAGTGTAAATAAAATGACTAGTAATTAGGTGAAGTTTTTAATATGATTCAGCCTATAAAGGGAATGGAAGTCTTAAAAGAGATTGCACTCCAAATTATTTAATCGTTATCTAAATTGAATTTTATCTTTTGTGGATTATTTTCATATAATAGGTTTTAAGTTTCAGAATATGGCAGTGTTTCCTCTTTTATAAACTGGCTTGATCTTTGCAGTTTTCAATAAATCAGGGAAATCCCCTTGATTTATTGATTCATTAAATATAAAATTGAGTGGTTTTTTATACTTGAGATGCATGTTTTTATAAGAAAATCTGGGATTCCAACAGCTCCCGCTGAGGCTTTACCCTTTAATTTAGATGCTTCTATGACAATTTCTTCTTCCAAGATTGGCCAAAAATACATTGAATTTGGGTTTCCTGTTACAACTTTTTTAACGATATTTATTTGGTCTTACTCTTGTTTTTCTCCACGAGTTCTTCAACTTTGTCTATAAAATATGAGTTCAGTGTGTCAGCCACCTCCTGGGGGCGGGATATTTTCCTATTATATCCTTGTAACCGAATCTCCTGGTCATCCTTTCCTACTTTGCCCATTCTTTTATTTGTTATCTGCCATATTATTTTATTTGGGTTAGATGCCGCTTCTATCCATTTATCATTTTGTTTCTTTTTTGCTTCTAAAATAACTTTTATATATCCTCTGATAACTACTGATATGGCTTACTATTTCAATTGGCAAAGCTATCCTCCATTTTAAATCATTTAAAAACCTCATTTTCCAGCAAGATATTTTTATTCCTTTTGATATCCATTTCATATTCTTAGTAATTCTCTTTATTACTGGTTTCAGTGGAAATACTTGATTAAAATAGTCTAAGAATTTTTATTAAAAATTGCTTATATGTCTCATTTACACACCTTTCCACATATATTTCCCCCCAAGATTCACTAGTCAACAGAGTTATAAATTTAGCAATATTGTCCTTGGTATACTTTCTTTTTAAAGCTTTTTTTCTCTCATTTTTACCTTTGTCTATTAATACCCATAAAATCTTGGCCAAATGATCTGAATATCCCATATTTATAATCTCAATGTAATTCTTGTTAAACTGTTTATTTAACACCAACATATCTTACAGTGATTCTGAGCTACTAGTAACTCTTGTTGGACTGGAGACTATATTTATTAAATCATAAGGTACTAACATATTTTTCAATGACTGGACCTGCCCATTTTTTTGGATCATGTTTATATTCCAGTCTCCACAGATTATTAATTTTTTCTTGTTTTTGTGTATTCTCTGAATGAGAGATTTGAGTTTCTTTAACAGTGTGTTCACGTCACCATGACATGATCTGTAAATACATATTTACATATGTAAATATACATATACATATACATACCCATTTCAATTTTTCAATTTCCACACCTGATATCTCAAAGTTTTTTCACTACTCAGTTCATTTAAAAATGTGACTTCCCTTACGTTCACCTCTTTGTTTACAAATATACATGGTCCACCACTCTTACTTTGCTTTCTACAAAATTTACTAACCAATTTAAACTTATCTATTTCTACCAAGGTTAGTGAGAATTCGTCCAACCAATGTTCTGTAAAGCACAGTATATTTACATCCTGCAAGCTAGAATTTAAAAGTACTGTCAATTCCATGTGCTTATTGCTTAGACTCTGAACATTATGGTGTAAGATTATAAACATATTATCTTTTAAATTCCCTCTCACTTCCCATTTACTTAAACTGTTACTTATGTTTTCCCTCACTGTACTCTTTTGAACCTTGAAGATGGAAGAAGAATGTTCAGCCACAGTGTTGATATCCACCCACAAGACTTCATGCTAGTAGCAGAGGTTTGTTGGAATCTGCTGCTTACACCAATGTGCGTGCATTATCTGCTGGTGTTTGCACTGTGTGTTAGATTTCTCCAACTCTGACTCATAATGGTGCCACCAAGTTTTGTCAGTGACCAAGCTTTGAATATTAAATTGTGCTAATCTGAGTATATGCATTCAGTATTCAGAGGGTTCTAGGCTTTATTCTGCCTGTTGACAGTATGCTTAAAAATAGGAAATATAAAAGAATATGTCAGTATAATGCCAAGTTGCCTGAAGATGAGAATAGAGCCAGCATTATGATTGTTGTATAACATATCAAGTTATGTCACAGCCTTCAGAAAATTACCCTTCCTCATATGGACAATTTGTCTGTGGATGCTTATTAATAACTTTAATCTCATTATGGCTCTGAAAGAGTAATTAGAGAAAACAGGTTCAACTGTATAGGTAATGGTGTCATCTTCAACTTTTGAGTTGTCTTTGCAGCTGTAATAAGCTTCCAGAAGAATGAAACAAGTATATTCTGAAGTGACTTTGCTTTGACAACTATAAGACTCTAAAAGCAGTAAAATGAAGTCACATTTGAAGATACATTATATACTGCAAGCTAGAAGTAAAAATTAATTATGATGTAAAACTTGAACATATTAGACAAATGTGGTGTAAATAAATGGATCACATCCTTTTTCTCACAGAGGATGAGGCTAACTTCATCTTTTAAAGTTTAGGTATGAAAAGAATCAAAACTATTCCTTTTAAGTAACATCTGTTTATATATGAAATTTATACTTATTGAGATATAAAAGTTTGTGATGATGGTGCATTGGTACAAATATTATGTTCTTGGAAATTAACCATTATCTTGCCTCTGTCTAAAAACCATTCTGTTTATTTTTCAAAACACAGCACTTTGAAGACTGGATTCTGTCTCTATATTTAGGTAAAACCTGCTTAGTTGACCTTATCCAGCGATATGGACTAGGTCTATCGATTGGGTCCAACTGAGTAGGTTTTGCCTGAAAATTGAAACAGAATCCAGTCTCCTAAATGCTGTGTTTTGAAAAATAAATGGACAGTTTTTAGATAAGAGACAAGATGATGGTTAATTTCCAAAAACATAATATTTGTAAATTTATACTTGTTTGTTGCTTTGCCTATAGTTCTGATTATCAGTACTGGAATATCAGCCTATGTACTTCTTGGTTAGAACACTTGGCAACATGTAAACAGAAAATACTAATTATTTTAGAAATACGTTCAGAGCATAATCCTATCCCCCTTCTTAAATTTGATACCTTTTTCACTGTCTGCTGGACATTAAAAGGATTATGTTATTAATGGCAGCTTATCAGAGCAGAGTTTAAGCTGTAGTCTTATTCATTCCTCCAATAATCAGCTACTTCCAACATCTGTCACAAGTTATTTGTTTTGGAAAACATTCCTTTAAGAACAAAATTACATATTCCCAACTTGTAGTGACCATGGTCCATATTGGTACTCTAGTGGACGTGTAAGACTGTAATGACATAACATTCCAGAAGACCTTGCTGGTATATTAGCCCCTTTTAATATAGATTGAGTCTTTTAATAGAGACAATCATATCCCTGACAAGAAAAATCTTATGGAGAGAATCACAGTATCACTACTATTTAAGTCTTCATATAACAAAATTTTCCTCTCATGGAGGATCCATTACTTTAAAACTGACAGTAATATCTGCTGCATGTGATGATTGCAGACCTGCGACCCAAGGGACGTGGTAGGCCACAGAGGATCCTGTTGGGGTCATGGCCAGAAGACCACATCCGGGGGGTGATCAGGGCTGTGGTGTTCCGTGACACACAGCACATCAAGGAAGAGCCACACCTAGGCTATCCTCGCCTGCAGGTAATGATTAATTTCATTTCATATCTGTGAATCTGTGATTGTCTCTAAATATACTTACACCTTGTTACAAGATTGTGGTGATCCTGACAGTCTAAGAAACAGTGCCTCACATGTAATTGTTCAGGCAACCAAAAATCAAGGACCAAAGGCAAATTGAAAATTTTAATTCTTCAAATTCTGTTTTTCTGTGTACTTCTGTACTTCTCGTTTGCAACACGATTTTTTGTCCCCATTTATACCATACAGTAGTTATCTCCATTTAACTCCTTGCTGTTCCCCCTCTGAAGTACATTAGCTTCTCTATTCAAACTCTTTTGTTGTTGTAATAATAGCTGATATTATTAGTCTCTTCACTAAAGCATTCACCAAATCAGGCATGTACCAAATTTCAGTAATTACTGTGTCTCCTTATGTCATGTAATTTCATATAATCAGATTTGGCTGAAGAATAATTTCTGTGTATCTGTTAAGACAGATTCGTTTTCTTAATAGTATGAAACTTCTTGAAAAACAATGAATGGTAACTTCAATTAATAATATTGAATTTGAGCATCCTGTTGCACTGATGTATCACTCACTTATTCACGTCCATCTTTGGTGCAACTTAAAAATGTTCACAGTATCTCCTTAATTTAAAACAGCATTAAAATCACATTCACGTGCTACATCTTTTGGCGCCACTTGGCCATCCTCAAGGTGTTGTTCACTTTTTTAGATCAGTGCACTGCAATAAATCTTAAGGCAATAGATTTCGATGCTTTGAATTATCGTTGTTCACATTTGTACATTTCTTTGAGAACAAAACTCGTTCTCTGTTCCCACGCTATTTTCCACTTGAAGCATCCATGTTTCTGTAATGTATAAGTATTGTCACATGAAAAGATGATCATTATTATTATATGAATTTGTTATTTTTATGTGTCCGTATGCGTTCCCACTAGTGGAGTGTATGTCACTTGTATGAGCATTCAGCATGATTGCCTGTGCTGCTGTTTTGTCGTAAAGTACACGTAAAGTCTGAAATTTGAGGTTGTATGTATTATTCATCTGCAGGTGATTCCTACTGATTTTATAAATCTTGTTCTTTCCGAGGTATTCATATGTCTGCCTTTCCTTCCTGTCCTTATGACAACCATGGTATCTCTTATTGTTCCATATGTATGCCTTGTGTTTGATGTAAGGTTTGAATATCTGGAATTGCTGCTATCTTTATAATGGGGAAAGGAAGATGGATCCTGACTTGTGTGAACATACAATAACTGTTGTGCTTAAACATTATGGCAGGCGATGAACGTGGATCATTGCTTACAGCTGCAAAACTAAGCACCAATCAACACACTAGAAATCTCCATCCACACTGTAACTTGAAAAAGGATGCCAAATGCATGTCAGGATCAAAATAACAGTTGTTTTGTTTGCCTACAAGAGTGTTGTGCATCATTAGCATGCTTCACCAGGTCACTGACGTTTCTATTTATAAGTGTTTAGATCCAGTGGGTGACAGATTTATGGTGACGGTTCACCTTCTCATATGGCCTGCCCTTGCAGCAAATTTTAAGTAATAACAATACTGAATAAGTGATATAGCCTCCTTGCCCACCAAATTTCACTGCCTGTAACATTTTTCCTGTGCCCTAAATGTAAAAGAAACCTTGAAAGTCCAACATTTTTATTGTGATGAAACTGTTGAACACAATTCATGAAGCAACTGTTGATATTTGCAGAAATTGAGTCTGAAATGTCAGATACCAATGTGCTAATCTATTTGGCTAATAATGATGTGAGACATATTAGCAGGGGCATTCAAACAGTGTTACTGGCACACAGCTTCGACTGATGTACTTCCCCCTTCTGTTGTATAAAAAAATTTTCAAATCAAGCCATTCTCTTTGTTACTTGTTTAGGACACATTCCTTACTCAGAAGGCAGCTTTTACATTGATAAATAATATTTAACTGTGACTAATAGCGAGCAATGAGTCAGTTAGTTACGAGTTAGTCAGCAGTGAGCAGTTAGAAGTGTGAGTGAGTGATCAGCAGCCACCGAAGACAGTTGAAATGGAACAGTCGCCGAGTTCAGTTGTAGCGGAAAGAAGAATACCGGAACGTGTGATTAGAGGCGATAGCGTGAGAAGCAGATGCTTGGCTCACAAGAGAAGTAATTGGGAGTGTGTAATACAGTGACACTTGTATAGCTCCTATATCGTACTGTGACTACGTGTAGACTACTGAAGATAGAGTTGACAGATTATTGTGTATGGTTGTAAATTGTGTAAACCTGTAACAATGTTATAATTAATTGTAGCCAAGACTTGTAGGTTGTTAAATAAACCAATTAACAACCTGAACGGCGTTGTCAGTATCAAAACACGTTACACTGATGTCAGAATTTTTTACGAACTTCAACACGCCTCGATGAATAATCGAATTTACGGGTGCATAAAGTGTTATCTTACAAAAAGATAATGGACTCACAGCAGATGATGCAACTCCTGAGGGAAAAATGAAGGGCCGAGAGAGAAGCTGCCTTGAAAAGGTTTGATGATAGGTGGAAAGCCCGGCGAGAAAAGATGGACCACGACGAGGCAGCCTGGCGAGAAAGATGGCCGCCATGCAAGAAAATATGGGCACCAGCCACATGGAGATGGTGTCCACATTTAAACCCGAAATAGAGGCAGAGACGATGGCCTGCCAAGAGATGGAGGCACGTCTAGTAGAAGAAAAGCCGGCCTCAGTGGACACGAAACCTGTGGCACAACAAGAAGAGGTCCCCACAGTGAAACCGGTCGTAGAACCTGAAGAAGAAACAACAGATACCAGAAAAGAGACGATGGCCTGCCAAGAGATGGAGGCACGTCTAGAAGAAAAAGAGCCGCCCTCAGTGGACAGGAAACCTGAGGTGGCCCAACAATGAGAAGTCCCCAACGAAGATGTCATAGTCAAACCAGTCAAAGGACGGAAGAAAAGGTATAGGGCCAAGAAGCAAGCTGCAGTGCGACGTGGAGAGCCACAGGAACTAACCCGAGGAGTCTGTGGACCTCGGGCGAAGTTGGCTACCTCCTGCAGGAAGGTGTCCCGCCATGCAACAGTGGCATGGCTCAGGAGGAATATCTTCAGGAAATCTTGGACCCAAAGGAATTGTGGACCCCTGAAGAGAAGCGACACAAGGATGTCCCATCGCGCAACAGTGGCATGACGCAAGAGAGACATTGTGAAGGAGAACCTTACTCAGGGAACTGGTGGACCCAGGAGGAAGCGACTGGTCGTGGCCAACAAGAAATAAGACTAGCTGTGCAAATGTGACACAGCACAAGAGACTGAGACTCCAGGGAGATCAGTTAGAGTCACTCACAAGCCATCATAAAGATATGCCAAAGAGAGCACGAGAAGGACTCGTCGTGAAAGGAAATTTCGATGCATGTGCTAGTGCACAAGCAGACGTGCTGCATGGAATCCCAGCAGATACGAACATCAAAAACTGGACACTGTGGAGGGGTCGACCCCCTCCGAAACGAAAAAAATTCAATAGCACACAGGAGGAGCTGGTAACGTAGAAGTACTGGCCTCCCGAGCAAGAGTGAATGTGCGACAAATGAATGTGATACAACTGGATCTTCTAGGCAAGTTAAAAGAAAGCTGCTCGAGACGAGCTGGTCTTAAGAGGGGAGCGGTCATAACGGCCGGAGAACAGTCTCTGCAAGGAGTAGCCGAAATAATAGGAGATGCAGAAAGCACATCCTTGGAAGAAAAAGGAATGGGGGTGCACTGTTAGGCTATTTGGGAGGAACAGCCTTAAGGAGGGAGCATTGTGACGTGTTGCACTGTGGAGGACACCCCCTCGCCCCGCCAGCGGTGATGTAACACTTTCGGAGCGTTGCCATTGCTACAGTAATAGGCAGGTCAACACCCCCCCCCCCCCACCACA